GAAACACACGCAGCCACGATGACGATATACCGAGCCAAGTTTCTGAAACCACCACGTAGCCCTTCGTATTCACGTCATTCTAGTGACGGTTAAAAATATCATTTTATGTACAAGAGAAGATTTGAAAAAGAGAGAGAGAGAGAGAGAGAGAGAGAGAGAGAAGGAGAAAGAGAAAAGGAGAGATAGAGAAAGTGACGGTATAGATGGCATGCACTGAAAAAAATTTACTAAATTTTAATAAATATTTGTTTGACTATTATACTAATTAAACATTTACAGTAAATAAATATTTATTAAATAAAAAATACTTAAATAAATAGTTCTTCACTAAATAAATATATGTTTACATTTAGTAAATATTTAGTGCTTTAGAAGATGTTTAGCGAATTTCTTAAGCCTAGGACCGATGTTAACTGATGCTAATTCTGACAGTCTAATTACATACGGCGTAAAATTACGAGCGGTCAACGAACGATGCGTGCAATGAGCAACCCATCGATCAAATTCCTCTCCACGCCAGTCGGTTAATTTTGGCGGCAGGCCGCGCGATCCGTGGCGGGCGCGTGCCGGCGTTTATTTTCACAGAGAGTCGGAAATAGCCGGCGGCAAAGCGCGCGCTCCACCCAATATTATAATAGCGATGACTGGCGCAGCAGACGCAACAGTCTGCGGGCGAGTAACGTTCCGCTGTGCGAGAATGGGAGGTGAGTAACGTTACTCCTCGGCCGCTGTCCGTCGCTGTCCGGCGCGACGGAAGCTGCAGTTTCATGTTTTCCTGCGACCGCACTGTTCACACAGTCGTGAAAAACCGAAACGCGCTTGCCGACATTAAGAATCCGTCTTCAATCACGATAATTACGTCAAAGTTCGCGCAAATAGTCGTTCGGTTTTGTGGAGTCATGCATTAATATATTAATAGCAATAACAACGATAATAGTTAATTAATGGAGATTTTTTATTGTAAATATTACCTTTATCTGGAGATAACTGTTAAGTTAGGTAAAAATGTGAACATTTCTATCGCTTGACAGATTTGTTTTCGAATTTGACGAATTTATTCATAATAAAAACGTGATATTCATGATATTGACATTGTCAGTTATCTGACAGTGCACGCGGGTCACATAAAATGCAGCGCGGATTTATGTAGTGCCGTATCATCGCGATAAGAAGCAAAAAACACCGCTGCACGCGAAGTATAAGCGACGACGCGACGAACGGTCGGTGTGAACTATATGCAAAACGCATAAATTTGCCTGTAATAAATCAGTCAAACGTCAGTGAAACAATCTCTGCTTGCTATTAAAATTATTCGAGCACATGATGGACATTCGTCGTCACGTATAATCGGATCGAGCTGAATGGAGACTTGTCTTGCAAATCGGTGCATAAGTTTACAGTGTTGTTAATTTCCACGCGAGAGAGAGAGAGCGTTAGGATGACATCAAAAGGGTCCATGTATGATGCAGATCAATAATTGCTAGCATGGTTAACCGGATCCGGAAAATGGTAATTAACGAAAATGGTTTCGGATGCACTTGGTTGAACACTTGGGCTCGCGTTTCACATGATTTACGACGAACGTAAACCCTTTGACGATTCCGGAACACGCTCGTTTATCGTTATCGCAACTTCCGTTGTGTGGTTGCTTAGAGCCCACTCAAGGAAAGGATGATTCTAATCAATTCAATGAGGAAATGTTGTGTTTAATTCTTTAATTCTCTCTATTGATTATAAAACAAGGTCTCATTGCGATTAGAATCACATAGTATTTTATCACGTTTTATTATAAATATTGTAATATAGAATAACATAATATAACAACATATGCGATCTTATATCAGTAGTTTATAAAAAGAAAGATCTATTTTTATAAACAGAGTTTATTTTAATTCACAATGAGAGCAATTACTTATATAAACATTTTTAAATTACACGAAACACGTGGATCACTCAATGAATGGTGATATAACGAGTCGTGAAACAAGTTCGATAAGCGCAGCTGATACCGTATTATGTATAGTGCATGAAAGTGCGGATTCCCCGCGCTCAGTCAGCCTGTTTCGTCTCATACAATTAATTAGCGCTGCAGTATAATCGCGTCGCTAATCGTCCGCTAATTCTCGCGCGGACATAATTGCCGCAGCGCGGCGGCGCATCGTTGATGGGCTGCACTCGTATCGACGAGCACATCGCTGACGAATGCACGGCTCGTTGCTGCAGCGATGCTGTGTTGGGTTTAGAGGACAGAGGAGCGGGAAGGAGGAGGGGGTGGTTTAACAGAATGGCATAATTCCTACGCGATTAATTCGCGATCACTGCAATATACATCGGACATCGCATTGCGTGCGTCAAATTTGCACGCGGCGGATTATCTCGATACACGCGGCCGGTGCAGGCACATCGGAATGCGTCCAGGGATGCATTCCGATTTGCATGCACGCACGCGCGAGAGAGAGAGAGAGAGAGAGAGAGAGAGACAATGTAGAGGTACGGATCCTTTCGCCTTCCGTACTATCTGTTTGTGTTGCAACACGATCGGAATGTCAAATACGTAGATGTATAATTGCAATAATGATCGGCCCTGCGCGAGGCCTTTAACCTTATATTGCATCAAACGAGATGCATTCTAAAAACACTTTCAACATGCCGACGTTGTTGAAAATCACGATAGCTTCGTGTCGACAGCTTCTGAAGTTGGCAATTTCGGAAAAAATTGATCGTTACATACCTTTCATTTCGTGATTACATAGTGACTTTGATATCTGATTTTACGGTGAGAATAAATCTTTTGTGCCCGCAATGTAGTGTAATTTTAATTTCGGTTCAATTAAATTAACTCTTTATCTTCTTCTAGTTATAAAAATTAGAAAAAGATGAAGAGTAAGTTGAACCAAGTCGAAAGTTATCTATTTGGTAAAAACTTTATAGACACGGGCATTAACCTGTTAACACTTGGGACATTTTTAATGTGGCTGAAATATATAGCTTTACTATGCAAGATATAATATAAGATTCGTAATGTGAATCGTATGATTATTGATATTATTTTGATGTTACTTATATCAACCATGACATTATCATAAATCAATCGATTTACATTATTTAGCTTAAAGCTAAATATAATTTCGCTGAATCATGTTACGTACTTTGAACATATCACAATTGCACGTACACGAATGTGAATGTAATGCGTCGACCTGGGGATACGCAATGCGTCGTACTATATACGGAGAATGTGTCTCTAGCATATTATCCTACGGCTTAGTTGGCTTTTGATCCGATTAAAATGGTTTTGCACTCCAATGGATCGTGCATAATTGCATTGCGCGATCGTGCACGTAAAGGACCTTTGGTGGCTGCTCTCCTAAAGGAAATCCGTGTTATTTCATTAGGCGTACAATCGCTTGAAAATCACATTAATCATATGTAAGTTTTTATGCTGCTAATATAATTAATTTACGTCTGTTCGGTGGAGATTTTTTAACGAGGAGCAATCGTAACATTCGAATATTGTTTTCTGTATACGATTAAAAAGAGCCTCCGCGATACGTTCTCGTGCATAAACTTATTACGTTCGCGTATAAATTTATTTGTGCCTAAATTTATTTTAACGATAAATTTTTTTAAATATAGTGCAAAAACAGGAGTAAAAAAGAATACACTCGGTCAAGGCAGGTCTAGAGTCTATTTTTGTGTGAATTTTTAAAATTATCTCGTCATTATAGAATATTAAAACGATGTCATGTGTCAACGTTGTCCAAAATTAATTGGATGACGGTCTTTTAATTATAGTACGCTCGAATGCCGGTAACGAACTTCTTTGTCAGTCTATCACTACGCTTGTCAGAATTTGCCACGTGCGTTGAAAACTTATAACAAAGTAAAGTTTTTATGGAATAAACAATAAATCTTTGAAACTCTATTTGTCAGACTCTGTCACTCTTCTGTCTTCGATTGTGTGTAGCTCCGCGATATCAATATTACGAGATATTTCACTTAACTGCGTCAGTTGAGCGAAACATTGAAAAACCATTCTAGTTTTCTTCGAGGTATATCGCCTATATTCATCAGAAATTTTCCATTATCCTGTATGCCGCATGCGACACGAACAAATACGTCCTTCAACGAAAACTATAGAAATAGCGATTCGATGTACGACGCGCGTCAGCTGGTGTCGAGAGTTTAAACGACGCTCTTTTGTTCTCGCAATAACTGACCATCATTGATCGGGACAGTGCACGATCTAATCTGCTCTCATGTAAGGTCTCAGAATCAATTAATCGCTTAACCTTTCTCTGGCGTGCAGAGGTTTAAATCATCTCGCACAGTTATAAAATTTTGGGTTTTACGTCATCACACAACATCGGCATTGATTCTTGTCAGAAAAATTTAATCTTTCAACGAAGGTCAATAGCTCCTTTGAAGTTCTATTAGAATATATGCACTTATCCCTCGTATATACTTGTAATTATCTTTCGATTTTGGTTGTCCTCACTAAAACGTTCCACTGAAAATCGATTACTCTCCAGCTGGAGATCCCGAAATGATTATCAGATTTGACTTTCTCTTGCTGGAGATATCTTTCTAAAAACCGGAGGGAAGCTTATGCGCGGACTTCCCTTACATAAACAAGTCATCAAATTTTCCGCGTGCCAGAGAGTCGAAGATTTTGTTAAAATGCCGGAGAGATAATGTTTGTGATCTGTGCTGAATTCACCGTTTCAAATATTTAAAACTTCTTAATATTTATTTTCACAATGTGGAAAAAAAAAACAGATTAACTTTAATCTTGGTTCAACTTACTCCTCATCTTTTCCAAAAATTAAAAAAACATGAAGAGTAAGTTGAGCCGAGATTAAAATTAATCTACATTGGCGGAAACAAGCATAAGTGAGGCTAAATAAAATTTATACCGAAAATGTATTATATTTATATAAATATAAAGAGAGAGAGAGAGAGATGAAAATAATATTAAGTGCGTGTGTTTGTGCTTTCAGGTGAATGGCGACGATGAGTGGGACTACGAGGATATTATTTTGGAGCGGGGCGGGGCGGGTCTAGGTTTCAGCATTGCCGGCGGCACAGACAATCCCCATTACGGCAACGACACCGCCATTTACATTACTAAGCTTATACCGGGCGGTGCCGCGGCCGCGGACGGCCGGCTACGTGTCAACGACACGATATTGCAGGTGAACGACGTATCCGTTGTCGACGTACCGCATGCGGCCGCCGTAGACGCACTCAAGCGGGCCGGCAACACCGTCAAACTGGTAAGCTTCACCCTCTATTCTCCAATCTCAGTGCACCGATACAAGCCTGCGAACAGGTGACTTGTTCCTATCGCAGCAGATCGCTTTGCTGCATTGACGTGCCCTTACAAGCTCAATATCGAGTGATAATTTAACACGATGTGTATTCATGTTATAATAAGGTATTCTTTTAATGTAAAGAAAAAGTATATTAATTATTTAGTCCTTTGTGGTCACACATATTTGATTTCAGAAAACGTTTAAGGCTCTATATCTCTAAGTTCTTATTTCGAAATAGGATTTAACCTACGGCCATTTACCTGAATCAAGATACCCTCTTTGAATCTTTGCGTCTAGACGCAAGGTATTGCTCCCAGCGCGTCAGTATAATATGCGTGTAGCAGCTGTTCGCGCAATATCGTTTTTGCGCTGGGGTCGTTCTAACATCAATCGTGAACTATTACACTATTTTTTTTCAGGAAGTATCAAATCTGTAGAGTACAGCCATAAATGTTTTATTTTAAAAAACTTTAAATATTATAATGTTTCTTTTAAACTTATTTTTCAAAAAAACGATTACGCAATTTTTTTTAAATAGATTAATTTGAAAATTTGTACAAAGCCACTGTGTGTGTTCTTATGTTTTACAATATTTAAAGTATATTTGGTAAGTTTTTTTTACTTCAGGGAATGAAAACTATGAATACAGCAATTGCGGTTAAATCAGAGGGGGCATTTTGTCTCTGTGTGACTATTACAAAACTTTCGAGAAGTGTGCGATCACAAAGGGTTAAACAAATACAAATACCTTTATGATTCGCTGATTATAAAAAATGAAGAAGTGATATCCGGATCAAAATATTGTAAGGAAATTAAGATGCAACTAAATAGTGACAAATACTAACTAATGCATTAAAGATGCTGAGCACAGTACTCTGAGCAAGATATGATGTATGGAAATCTGAAATTCGAATTTAATTGAATCGTATCCGCAGTGCAATGGCAACACATTGTTACGGTGATCACATGCCATATCATATGCACATCTCAAGTGCGCAGATTTAATTGGGCGACGAATGTGTCGGGAATAATTGAATTGCAAATGCTGTAATGCGTATGCTTTCTACTGTTAAACTCACCTGCGTGCATATTCAATTTCTCAGTTACCTACCAATAATTACTAACTGAGTGGTTAATTAACAGAACATTAAACAATGATATTATCAGCGCATTATCACCGTTTATTTATATGCATTTTAATTTGTTGAAAATTAAGATTAAAATGATATTTTATGCACCGTTTGTCAAACTCATTGACGCTAAATCGATAATATTTTAATCGCTTTCATTATCATGCCGCTTTCTACCTCGAACTTCCTATTTTTTTATCAAAATATTTGCGATCTTTTCAGTTTAACGTCGACATTTCGAGTTCCAGAAAGTTTTGCAGAATTGAGGGTCTTTTCCGAGCTTCATATTTGTCATAAAGACGCGTCGAATATCTTTGGCTTATGCCTGAGAAAAGTCCCGAAGCGACGATCATTCACCCGGGCCTTTCGAAATTCCTGTAGCCTGGCAAAGTCGTCAAGGGATGAAGGAAAGTTTCGATGGGATCGTTCGTTACATGCCTCTCGGATATACGTTAATGTCAGCCTTAAAAAAAAATCCCCAGGTGGATTATCACTGTATCTTTCTTTTTGACCGAAGAAGGCCAATATTAAATATAAAAATCACGACATTAGTTATGAAGTAAAGTCACTTTAGAGCATGAAAAATAAACCTAACTTTATGAATTATTTTCGGGAATGTGTGTAATGAAAGAAATAAAAAAAATATATTTTAGATAAAATAGTATTAGCTCTAAATTATAATATATTGGAAATAACAACCTTTTCAAGAGTCATCAAGAGTTTTTGAAGTACTTGAAAAGTGGTACGAGTTAACGCAATTATTAACCTTCCCAGGCTTGACATAACATGAAAAGAAGACATAAAAGCTTTATAGTCGGACCATTCTAGATATTACAATATTATTCTAACATAAAGTCGCAGTTATCCTTCGTTGCGCGCATCTTTAGGATAGGAATACGGTCACAAATCCGATTTTACAATTTTGATTTATGGATAACTCGCAATTAAATTTAGTTCAAGATCAAATAAAATACTTCAAATGCGAATTTTTTTTTATCCAATAGTAATTGTTATATTTCATTACATTTACTAAATTAATACAATTTAGAAATAAAATCAAAATAATGTTTTATTTATACAAATATTAAATACATTTGTTAAAAATTATATTATTCTCTTTTTATTAAATTACTTTTACATAATGTTTTATACAATCAATGATTATAAATGATAACAGAAAAGATGCTTCTCGTATATTTTAATTTTAACAAGTAGGTATTTTAAATATTTGCGCCATTATAAACTATGTATATCAATCTGTAATCGAAATATCTTTCAATGCTTTTTCTGTGCCAAGTTTAATTAACCACCTTAGTAACGATATAAACAGATCCTTAAGGAGAATAGCACCAAGCAGGAACAAATCCACTTTATAAATCTCACCGAGTAAACGAGAGTAGTTTGAAAGAAGATATATCTCTCCGATCAGCTATCGGGCGGGCATTTAATTACGTGGAGATTCATTGTTGCACCGGGAATGAAAAAGCACACAAAGCTTTTTTTTAAATGCTTCTTAAATGAAAGTGACGTTGCTTAAAAATTGAACTTTGTGGAATTTACACGTTGAAAAAAACGGGTATTTGCGATGCCTTTCAAGTCCCTCTCCTTCCCTCCTATACTTAATTAACATCATGTTTGCACATTGATTTTCAGTATATACGCCGACGGAAACACACGCAGTTGATGGAGATCGAGCTGATCAAGGGTAACAAAGGCCTTGGCTTCAGTATCGCTGGTGGTATCGGCAATCAACATATACCAGGTGACAATGGAATCTACGTGACCAAAATCATGGACGGAGGAGCTGCCCAAGTAGATGGTCGCCTTGTTGTCGGCGATAAATTGGTAGCCGTCAAGAATGCTCTGGTAAGTACACGTGCCATAAGTTTGATTTTTGCATCGTGTTCGTTTCGCCGAAATATTGGCGTAATAATCGGCCTAATACTATTAAATTAATAGGGATATCATGTTAAGAATATATTTGTTTACCGATATTATTTGATTAGCCAATAATTTTCAAGTAATGAAATAATTTTTCTTCTTTTTTTGGGAAACTTAATTTTTTGAGTTATATCACTTTTAAAGTAAGGGAGCGATATGTTAAGTGGAATAAAATATTACACTGTTACTTGTATAAAACATATCTAGACTGCGAGAAAGTTTCGGGATGTTGTTGTAAATTAGAAAAATTTTTATGTTGTAAGTTTAACCAAATACCGATCGTACAAAAGAGATTCCATCCTTATAATCTTTAAAATTTTATAGTAACGATAAATGGAACTTATGATAAATTTCATGGAATCGTAGAAAATATTAGGAATATATAAAGATAAAACTTTTGACTTCCCTTCTTCGATAACGTCTGAATTTCTGAATACCTTCTTCATGAATCTTCTTCGATTTCAGAATACAATTCAAAACACAAATAAAAGAACGTTCTTCGTTTCGAAGGCATAGAAAATAAATTCGCGATCGGAGAACGCATATATAAATTGCCATGAAAAAACGAGTTGTGGTATCTACGCTCGAATAAGTCTGCAATGCAGAGAGGGAGAGAGCCATTTCGAGTTTTATAATTACTCCCGAAAACTTTGGGCTTGCGCGCGCCAAAACTAATTACCGTACGATCGATAATTACTTTGCCACGCGGGAGAATAAAACGTAGACGGCAAGAAAGTTCCCGGACACTGTCGTAAACAACTGATTGCGAGTAAATTTCCACGCCGAAAATTTAATTGAGTCTCGATTCTGTTCTTTTCATCCCTCCGCCATTATAAATTTAAAAATTTTGTAATCGCGAAAGAAATTCGTGACACGCATTCTATACGAAGGATTCTACACCAGGACTACTAAAAATATGTCCAAAGTGTTTTTGACAGTCTCAACGAACGTGCCATGAATATTTTTTTTCCATTAAATTATAAAATCTTAAAATTAAATTTAAAATTTAAAAAATTTTGTTTTTTTTTCTTATAAAACATATTTTACACTGGTAATAAACTGTCTCTTTCTCTCTCTCTCCCCCCTCTTTTTTGAAAAAAAAGAATAAATCAGTATTCAATATTGAAAGATTTTAGTACCTCATTTTTCTGCTTACTTGTTGTATCTTTTGTAAAAAATAAAAAAAAACATATTTGTAATTATTCATACACAAATAAGTTTAGAAGTGGAAAAAATCGACGCTCCAATCTCGACATCAGCTTGACTACCGATTATCACCCTCAAAAGATAGCAAAGGCAAGCCATTCAACGCACTTTTATGCCATAAAGAGAAAAAGAGAAAGCGCCTTTCCATCATATGCGCGTATTCTGCACTACACCCTCCGGCGACAGTCATAAATCAAACCGGCCGTTTGGCGGCTTTAATCGGTGCTTTTTTTGCACAACTCGCAGATGGGTGCCTTAAAGGTGGTGAAATCGCTGAAGCGAAAAATCGTAGACTAGCGAAGATCGACTTGCCGTCGACGGAAGCTGTATATCGCTGACGAAAGAGCTATCAATTACTTCGACGGTGCTTGGAAAACCGCCCTAATCTACTTTTCCTATTCGTGCTGATTTTTAGAGAATGGGAATGTTCGATATCATTACCGATTACCGCTTAAAAATATAAAATCTGTTCAATCTTATTCTTCTTTTCATTATCACATAGATATGTATGATTTGTTAATATATTTTTTACGCGGAGGATGTACTATACATTAAAATAAAAAAAATAAAGAGAAATAAAAACACAGTAATCTGTAATGTTTTAATTTAAAAAAAAGATTTAATGATATGATGTGATATTTCTAATTTCTTAATTTGTTGCATTAAACTAATGTAATAGAGAATTACGATATATTATATTTATTTTTTGTTATTTAATTTAAAGCATCGCGAATATTTACGAACGGATTAAAAATCCATTAGAATGCATTGCTTATCTTATGCTAGTCTTTCAATGCGTATATCAGCTCGATAATAATCGCAACTGATTGCCTCTTATGTCTGTTTCTATTAATGTAGGTTAACTTTGATCTTGGTTTAACTTGCTATCTTTTTTAATTTTTAAAAATAGAAAAGTATGAAGAGTTAGTTGAGAGAGTCATAATATTAATTATTATATGTTAAATTTTGATCTGCAAAAAAGTAGGCACTTTGTATATATATATATATATGTATGTACATATGTATGCATGTATTAAATACTATCGATAAATTAATATTAAATGTATATGATTGAAGAAAAGCACGTATATTGGTTTCAGCAGGGCGACAAAAATTTGGAAAATGTAACACACGAAGAAGCAGTGGCGATTCTGAAAGCAACCCAAGACCGCGTCGTACTTTTAGTTTCTAAAACGGAAAGTGGAATTATCCCCCCACCTCCTCCTCCAGTAGCGACGGACAATTCTCTCTCATCTCAGCCACGTAAGTCATAAAATTCCTTAATTTTTTGCGCATACTGTTTAACGAAATTGGAACATCATAAAAAATTAGTATAGATAGTGATTTCATTAACATTTTATTAGATGTATAAATAAGTTGCTTTTTTTCAACTTTAGATGGCTAACAAGGGTGCATTTAAATTTTGTCCAAGTATTTTTTCATTAGTAAAGTTAACTAACCTGCACTTCGAAAGTTATACAACAATTCGCAGTTAGATAATTAAGGAAATTCTAAGTGACAGAATTATCGACATTATAAGTTAGAAAGTTTTCCAAATTGGGGCTATACAAAATGTTAAATCCTTTTACACAATTAAAATACTCATAAAAAGAGATGGTCGATTTAACGAGAAAATCGGAAAAAAGTTAAATAAAACTACATTTACCTAGTATCATTACAATTTTTTAACTTTTTTCGATTTTCTCGTTAAATCGACTGCTCCGTACATCTTTTGTGAGTATTTAATTGTGTAAAAGGATTCTGTACAGCCAATTCGGAAAACTTTTTAACTTTAATATTGATAATTCTGTCACTTTAGAACATTTCCTTAACTATATATTTAATTTAATTAGAAATGAACGTTAAAAACGTACACGTTCATCATTGCACATAATTCACTATTTTTATTGTAGTAAGAAAGAGATTCAGAAGCCTTCATTAAAATGTCTGTAACTGTTTCTTTTATATTTATATAATACATGTATTTAAAAAAAATTACGAGTACTTATTTGTACATTCCGAATCTTGAAATAGATTTCATAGACAAAATGTATATACCACATATTCTTTAATTTATAGTTTCTATATAAAATATAACTCTCTAATTTATTTACTTTCTCAAGTTATTTATTATTATTTAAGATGGAACACACAGTGTAATATAAATGCTAAACGATCATAATCTCGTTGACTATCAATCAAGCGATGAAATAAAATCACAGCGTGAAATCTGTGATTTTATTTCATCATCCGTGATTTACGTTACGGAGACGGCCAAAGATTAGAGCCGTATGCGTTTTAATAACCGACTTTTCAGAAAAACCGTCTCCCTACCTCCGTCGTCGCATCTAATCGCATTTTTTTTGCCGCCACTTCTCCACCGCAAGATCTCAATCGAAGTAATAATTACGGCATCTTATTAATTATTCAAACCTGTCTGCGACGTGTTGAAATTCAAATCAACTGTGGCTCTCGTAATTCCTTCGTTGGCTGAAAATAAACGCAGATAAATCCCTGCGCTTTCCGCCCGTCGAGAGGTGCGGAAATGAATTTTTGATCCGCGAGTCTTCCCCGTCGCGTCATCCGGACTTTTACTGACGATCAGGTCGTAACTTATTCATCAGTCTCGTAAAACGGAGCTCGTAAAACTCATCCCGAAATGCACGCGAACGTCTTACCTTCCTTTCCCGTTTATCGCGTGTGCTATGAATGTGGTGCACCGCGCGTCGAAAATATTCGATTGAAGAACTCTTGAGAATGCAAGTGTTAAAATTCTATGTTGCAATGTCGAAAAACAATCGATCCTTTCAATTTTTCTTGTGATTTAACAAAGCTTTTTTTAAGTATTGATATAATATAATGTGTAAAATTAACGATCATAGATTGAGAAATCAATTATTATTTTGAAACAACTTTTATTTTGAGCGGGTTGTATGAAAGATGAAAGACCGCTTTTCGAGATATTAAAGATACATACATCGAACTGCGCGTCGTGGCTGTATTTTTATTCTACAGTAATATTTCTGTATTTATTTTTCTACAAACGGGAAAAACAGCACAGTACAAACGCTATAGTTCTCAACTTCGATGTGAAAGAGAAAAAGTGGACTCGTCGGTGGCGGTTTCATGCCGACTGAATTCAAATTGCCCCTTTAATGCTGTGGCATATTGGTGCCCCGCGGGATTATCCGAATATTTGCTTTAATCTCCAGACGCAACTGGAGTTTCTCGGAGAAGCCATCTTGACGCGAATAAACAAGTCCGCTCTAGATTGAGATCGCTATTTTCTATCTCGATGCACTATCTACGTTTTTTAATGTAATACTTGCAGAAAAATAAATAAAATTTCCACATACAATACAATATCGTAATAATAAATAAAATTATATATAGCCTACATACATATTTATGTATACGTGAACGTAAAAAAGAGAATTACATAATTAAGAGTTTATTTTTTTATTTTTATAGGTATTATATTATTTAAACTAATAGCTATATTTAAGCGTTACAAATATATCTAAAATTAATAATAAATTTTTTAAATTTAATATTATATTTAATGTTATAATATTAAGTTAGAAAAAGTAAAAAAAGATTATTTTTTACTAAAATTAGTAGAAAATTAATATTAGTATATGATACGGACAAGAAATAAGCACAATCGCAGATTGTATTTGTCATCGTGGTATACATGTGTCATATATTAATATTATATTTTCTACAATCTTTATATATTATCCTAAATGCATGATTTTGTCTTTAAAACATAATTTTACATTAATTATTAATAATAAAAGTCATTCTATGGATGGAAATAAAGACGAGCATATATAATATATATATATCGGCGACTGTTTACTATCAAATAGATTTAACATTCGTTACACATACAACGAAATAATATTAGAAATAGAAAACATTGACCGGATTATTGATGATTTTCCACGTATGTATATAATAACAAACGATGTTTCTAACTTTTTGTTTGATAGGTAAGCAAAACGGCTCCGTGTCTGCGATGGAAAACAACACCGCGGCTCTACCATATTCGCAGGAATCACGCCACGCGTCATCTCTTGCTTTGCACGGCACTGGGACACCACGGGCAGTTTCCCAGGAGGATGTGTCACGGTGAGTTTCTCTCTTTTCTTTTACTATTTTTTAGAGACTCCACACGAGTCAGTCGCTTCTGGTCAACATCTAGCAGTCCTTTTACGAAGATTGCGGTACGCCATATCCGCCACCGATCCTCTCTCGCGAACATAAAACAAGTCTCGTTCACCGGTCACGTCCGATACTTTCGGGATGCACCGAGCGCTCGCCCTCTCTCACAATCCGTTCGTTCGTACGTGATTTAATTTAATGCCGCGTTGCGCGTTACATGAGTGGCTCGTTTTATATTACTGTATACTCTATTTTCTCGATAATAACACAAGTTTACAAACTTAAAAACGTAAATGCACCGTTGAAATGGGCCATTTGTTCTTGTCGGTGATTTATCGAACTGACCCGTCGATCAATTGTAGAAAACGTGGTACTAATTTCAAAAGTAAACCGAGTGAAACGGATAAACTGTATCAGACGGGTGTTTCCGAGGGTTCGATGAGCAACGCGAACGTGGTGGAGGGTAAAGAGCTTGTGGTAGGACCGGTGCGCACAAGCTAATTGCCGATGGATTAAGGGCTTATCGAATTGGCCCGACTGTACCATGGAGGTGGGATTGGTCCGGACACATTATGTACCTCTGCTGGAGGCTTACTCACGCCAGTTCGGTTCCTTCTATTGACCTGTCCGTTCGTTGCTAACCCCTCTCGAATACTACTGTGAGACTCCCCAATATCACCGTGTTCCCGGGACTGTTCGGGTTAAGGTCGTCACTGAACATTGCGCGAGCGGAATAGAGATCAGACAAAGCGGGAATGAACTTTCAATCGGTTTTGATGAATCTTAGTCATTTCTTCATTCACATATCTTAAATTTATCTTTTCATATCGCTTTGCTTTAATGATATATTATACGACAGATTTAGTTAATAATTATAGAGATAAAAACTAAGGATCTATTTATTCAATTTTAATTTAAAAGCAAAATCATAAAAGATAATGAAATTATATTCTATTTTTATTATATTTAATATTTTATATTTAAAAATGATATGTATATATATATATACATATATACATATAGGTATGTACTTGTTCTGAGAAAATGTTCTGAGAAATTTTATAATGCACGTAATGAATTCATTTTAATCTAATCTTCCATTTTTCTCTTCTGTTCGATGAATCCTATTAAAGGGAGTAGAATCTTTGATAAGATATGGAAAGTTTAAGTTTGATCGAGAGAAAGGAATTTAAAAATAGTGCGCAAGGAACAACTAATTGTTATACTCTACTCTTGACTTATATCTGCGCCAGATTGCTGGAAGTCATTCCGCAGTTAAACATTACCATGAATGGAATATTTCATTAAGTCGACCAGCCGCCACGAAAGTTTCGCACACCTGTGCGCTGTCGGCTCGCTGTCCATTTATTCAACTTTCCGAGCTGCACATAGACTCTATCGCTTGCATTATTTTCCGAATACACTATTTATTCAAACTCCATTCAACGTTTCTCTTTTATGTTCGTTTTAACTAATCAATGATCTTGTGATAACGCTTGGTGCGCAATGATTATCGAAGATCAAAGCATTATTGTCTGTTTGATTAACATCACATTTAATTAACTAGTCTGAAAAAAGGAAGTTAAGATTATGTAATGAAAATTGCAGAGTGACACGCTCTGAGTCCTCGCGTTAATTCAACTTAATAATATCTCGTCATTGAAAAAAAGATCTTTCTTTCTGATCATCCTATCATCTCGAGGTAGCAAATTTTACGCGAGACGTCGCGCTTCGTGAAGAAATAATTCGCGTGCGTCAAAGAGAGAAATATCATAAAAGAAACAAAACCTGTCCGTACTCGACGGACTATAATTTTTATCTCATTTGATTGGAACAATTCCTGGGTGTTGATTGGCAAACTCGTTTTTGTTTCCCGCGACTTTGACGTGTACGCGTTGCGGTTCGAAAAGTTCTCCTCAAGTAAATATCTTGGTCGCTTTTTTATTTGGATGGTTTATCGAATACGTCTTGTCGATACCGCACCGAGTACGTTGAATGCGCCGCAAAACACAGATGCATTTTTATTGTGCGGTGCTCTGTATCATGACAGATACCTACTTGCGACACATCCACAAATGCACGTTTTTAATTACTCGAGCCGTGTCCAAGAATACCACACCCTGAATCGTTCTCTCAGTTACATATACATATATGAAACGGCTACATATAATTAACGTCGGTCAAATTAGACTTTAAAGGCATAATCGATTTTTTTATTGAGAATTTTGGTAAACAAATTTAAATCTATAAAGAAATGAGTAAGTAAAATTCAATTCGACTTCTATGATAGTAAAAGCTCGGCGTTAAAGCTTTCACAAGTACGCAAGAATTTTTTCAGATTTTTTAACCGTCCGGAACAATATAAAAATCTATACTGAGGCTTAAAGACCCAGGTTACTGATGGCTTGCAAAATTCCATATAGCCGATAGAGGGTTAGTTAGGGCTTTCTCGCGATACGAATAATGATACGAGTAATTAATGTTATACCATTTCCTATAAGCGGTATAATCTGCTATTATACATATGTGTACCGTTGGACACATTCGAGTGTGCATGTAACACGCGCACAGCTGCATCTCCAAAATACGGGCCAAGGTCGCAGCTGGCCCGGGTCACGAACGAACTACTGGAGCCGACCAATTTCGCTTACGTGATGCAGCATCCTCTTTGCATCGATCCGTATACGTCCCATTGCATCTTTGTTTAATACTGCCGAATTCTCATATCGTCATGATACTGAAATATTTACTTTCTTGTACTAGTAAAATTTATTACACAACTGATTAATTGAAGATTATACTGAGAAAGAAGATTTATTAAATTTTAATACATATTTCTTTGAATATACTAAGTAAACATTTACTTATAGTAAATAAATATTTTTACTAAAAAAATGATATTTTAATCAAACTAATAGTTTTTGTATGAAATAAATATATATTTACATTTAGTAAATATTTATTTTAATAACTATTTAAACAAATATTTATTAAAATGTATTTTTTGTAAATATAAATAATTTTAAATAACAGAAAATCAATTTAAGTGCGAAAAGTGTAAGAAACTTACAATTTTCCCAATCCGAATATGTAATAATTGTCGATTATAATGCATATTTAGCAACGTATTATATTATTATAAACAAGCTTAACTTTTTGAGTCTGCTTGCAAACTTCCTGAATTTCAAAGAGGAAAAGACTCCGTTATTACTTTTTAGAGAATTAGCATATATTATTTTTATTTTGTGACGTGTTCTGAGTACACGACGCGTTGCAACTTATCACGAGCGCTTTGCTCTGTAGCTTTTGATAGTCAACATAGAACTCTTTCATCCGGCTCATTGTGTCACACCCTCGTGTGTGACGGGGTAAATTTAATTTCTTCTGTGGCTCTTGTCCCGTCGGACATCCTGGCCGGAGATGTCCGGTCCAGAGCTAGGAAACTCGTCGTGAACAATAGTGTCCTACTCGGTGTCCTAGGTGCGAAAGGATGTCATGAAAAATTTTCTCGACAATTTTGCATTTAACCGGAGATATTAATTGTGAAGTGTGAAGATTTTATGAATGTTTTTTAAATATAAAAATAAATAATTATTTGTACTAAAACGCGCGTATTAAATATTTGGAAATATTTTTTTAACTTCTTTGAATTTTACATATTTTATGTTTTATGAATTTTCTGATTCTAATTAATGTTTAATTTTTTTAGATTTTTATAATTTAATTATTTAGAGCAAATTTTAACTTTGTCAAATTTGTCGTTTTCAAGTTTTGCTTTAATACTCACATATTTTCTTCTTTTTAAAATATTTCTTTATTTTTATTAATATTATTCTTTACTTTTTAAATATATGATATACCTATATACTTTCCTAGTTTCATATATCTTCTAAAATTTGCAAATACTTCATTTTAGTTTGTTTTATATATTATAAAATAAGAATCTTTTTGAAGATCATTTATTTGTTTTGCACAGATAAATGATTTTTTTTTTTTTAAATATAACGTTGCTGCGGAAACTTGTGGCACAATGCAATATGGATAATCTCTTTTAATTCCATGGACGTTTTAACGTTTCAATGGGTTTTCTGCAAATTTTACACTTCCGCAATGCATGACGATGCTCATCGGAATCCGGAAGCATGTGAAGCGAGGATTAAGAACGCTTTTACGCTGGACAATTTTCAGGGATGCGGCAGCTTTTGCATCCAAGAATAATGGATTTCCTGGTGCGAGATGATCCCATATTATTTGGCGGGATAGCTGTGCCAACCGAGAATTTTCCACGAGCTTCCTAGCAAAGACCCTTGAATTTTTTCCTTTTCTTTTTTTATCTGCCCTTTTCTCTCTTACCAGCGTGACATCGAGAATTGTTGCATTGTTCACAGGACTTCCTGAATTCCTGCGAATTTTCTTGTCACACTTTTTCGGCACAGTTATTTGCGCATGCTTCCGAAAACGGTTAATATCTCCTACTTCTAATTTGCGAAGCATGATGTCAGTTGAGAAGAGTTATCTTTTTTCCTGTATTATTTCGTATTTTAATTTGTGGGGTTTAAATAAATTGCATATGTTATTTGAATAATACAAGAAGAAAAATAATATGTATTTATTTTTCTTGAACTATTTTTTGTAATTTTGACATCTTATTATTTGATTACGTTACTAAAATACGTTTAACGATAAAAATAGTTGTCTATAATAAAAGTTGATGCAATATTTGTTGATAGTTAAATCAACAGCAAGTTAAAATTTATTTAATCCCTCTTTGTGGTATACTGTGTTTCTAGTGTAACTAAAATAAATTTGTTACTATAGCACGCACAATGCTATGGTATGAGCCTTTGAACCGTGCCATCTGCAGCAAAATATGCGCTTGCTACCGCATAACGGGTGCATTTGCACAGTTTGTTTAATTTACAGTCCACGACCCAATTCTGGACCGTTCTGTATAATGTATCGTTTGT